TTTTTGGGGGGGGGGGGGGGGAGGTAAACACAACATATTTCAGCTGATCACATAGCATTTCCGAGAAACTCAGGGGACGAATTGCAAATAATGCTTACTGAATTAAACAAGGAGAGCTGAAATGTAGGTCTTAAAGTTATTCTGAAGAAAACGAAAGTAATAATGTACAAAAACCTCGAAGAGAACAGCGCTTCAAGATAGGTAGCAGTGCACTTGCAGTTGTACAACAGTAACGTGAATTTAGGACAGGTAATAACAGCTGAGCCGAACCGCGAGATCTAGAAGATCTAGAAGATGAAGAATTCTGTGAAGCACATCGGCAAGCATTTCCAAATAATGACTTCTAGATTGCCACTCCCTGTCAAGACGAAGGTATATAACAGCTGCATCTTGCCGGTACACACCTGGAACGAAACCTGGAACTATTGAAAGAGGGTTCAGATTAAATTGAGATCGACGCAGCCAGTGATGGAAAAAAAATGATAGATCTAACTTTAAGAGATAAAAAGAGGGTGGAGTGGGTCAGCGAACAAATCGGAGTTGAAGATATCATAGCTCAAATCAAGAAGAAATTGTCATTATCATTGTCGTTGTCATTCTGGACCAACTTTCATATGCGTATTTAGAACTGTATTGTTTATGATAAGTTAATCACATTGAATTGTACACCCTCACAGCGTATTTGTTGCCCCCCACCCATTATGTAATGCCCTCGGGCCTTTAAGGATGCAATAAATGAACTGAAATGAACATGGGCCGGGCATATCGCGCGTAGGCAGGATAACCACTGGGGATTAAGGGTAACTGAATAAATTCCCAGAGAAAGCAACTGGTTGCGGGGGATACAGAACGTTAGGTGGGCAGATGAGATTAGGAAGTTTGTGGACATAAAGTGCCAGCAGCACGCACATGACCGACTTTACTGGCAGAGCATGGGAGAATCCTTTTTCTAGTAGCAGGATAGCCAGGCTGATGATAATGATTTCAACCGACAATTAAGTCAAATAAGACATAAAGAACATTATTGGTCGTGTTTCACTGCACTGTTGTAATAATGAAATAAACGTTAATTAATCAAAAGGGCCAAAGAGCGACTGTTCCACCGGCAGGTGCGGAACGTACAGCCGGAAGCTACGGTGGCAGTCAGTCCGCAGTTCTGTTTTACAGGTCATTTCTCATACGCATCTGTTCGTGTAAACCTGGAGGTCTTAGCCGGTACTGCTAATAGCCAGGTCCACGAGCATGACGTCTGTGCAATCAACGGGTGCGACAAGACCACGATATGACCCCAAATGATGCATTCTCGCGAAGACGTCGATCTACCCGAACAGCTCAGCTCCGAAGCGACAATTCCGACATAGCTGCTCGCTAACTACTAAACGTAAAATCGATTACCACAATGCTTGAGATCTGCTGTTTTTTTTTTTTGTCATATGATAACGTATGATAGCTACTGACAGGGGTGCCAAGAAACTTGGAAACAGTGCACTTTCCCAGTACAACAGGGCAGCTAACTTAACGAGTACAAGTTTGGCTGCCGATACATTATAGGCGAAAGTAGAGAGGAAGCCAATATACCGATCACTCAGAGTAATCTCTCATGCTCTTTAACATAGAAGCTTGGCCGCTATACTTTTTAGGCGAAGAGTCAAACTTTTTCTTTTCGTCTATAGCTGGCATCGCTCCGTGAAAATGTGCAAAGATGGCCGGAAGTAGCGTCATTCATTGGCGGGTATCGTGCGGGCCGTGTTTGACACGAGCAGATGTCTCGTTACTTTGGAATGTATGTGTTACGTGAAACACCATAGAGCAATGCTGCTCATTTCATGATTCATCGTAGGCACGCACGTGCGTCGCATGGGAATAAACCCACGTCTACTTTTATCGACTATACTTTCCCGCAATTCAGTACGCAACGAAAAGATCTGTTCTCGCAGTTTTTAATTGATGATCTCGGGCAAACATAGACAATGCTTCGTGGATATGAGATGAAGAGGCTGGGATGTGAGTTGTCTACTTGAACTAAACGTATACATTGTCATATACTTTTGTGAAGTTTGTAGAAGCAAAAGTTGGTCGCCAACTATTTTGGTGCCACCTATAGGAATTGTTTGTTCGAAAATGAAAAGTTGGAGGCCATAGAATGAGCATTCTTTTTTAGTACCCTGCTTTTGGAACAATGCTCGCACCACTGACAATTACGAAGCCGACATTAGAAGTCTGTCTTTGACAACCTTACACGTAGTTTCGGGCCATTTTTCAAAACAGTTGCCAGCTGTACGTTTTATTCATGAAATAGTAGAGCAATCGGTGCTCCCCAACAAAAACTAACACTTCTGTTGTCCTCCTCAATGAAATCAAAAGATTGTTGTAAGGGGCCGAAATTTTTACCTATTAACCCCCCCCCTCTCTCTCAGCGGGGTACATGCAGTCACCGTGATCATAATTCTCTGAAAGTACGAGAGAAATCAGGGGATAGGCGGCAGAGGAAAGAATGGCTGCGTTCATGTGCACGGGCCTATGGTGGAGAATGAATTCCCAGCGTATTTGGTCCCTTTGACATCAAAGCCACGCAAAACACTGCTGCCGAGCTGTCCGCGAAATTCAGTGCGGTAGACACTTAACCTGTCGCGTAAAAGAAAGTAAATTTTCAAGAGGTTTTTCGCATTCTCGAACGTGACGAAGACTCAATTTTTTTGCATTTACAAGAATGGTAATGAGCCTAAGGGCAACGTACACGCTTTTCCATGCGTAAAGACATAAAATTCGCTGTTGCCAATTTTCGCATCGCGCAGCTGCTTTGTGCAGATTTACTGCATTTACAATCAGTACGCGTTTAACCCATCGTCCTTCCCATTAAACATCCTTTGGTTTAATGTTAATATACGCAGAAGTACTTCAGCCGTCAGGCCTTCTACATCAGCACTAGTGCAAAAACTTCTGGAGACATACCTCTCGCCAAAGGGCCACGGGATGGTGCATCGATGTTTATTTGTAAGCTGGCATTGAAGTTGTAAGCCTATGGTATCAGCAGCATCAAAGTTTTCTTATTCATGTTCAGAGGAGAATGAACTCATCTCTATGATCTGCGATTGCCCATACAAGGCCGGTTAATTACCAAATATTGCCTCACCACAAGATGATCTCTATTCGACTGCGCTCTCCAGCTTGGCACATACACCTATGAGTAGAAGCGCACCGACAACAGCTCGTAAGTGGCCCAATGGCCATTTCCATCATGTAGCGGTGAGGCGTCAGCTTTCTAGAGTGTTTCCCCGGTCGACGCGCGAACAGAGTGATTCTCTCGATAGCACTGCTCACCCAAAGTAGACGACGATTTCGCACCGCGCTCCTATAATTCATATACGCGTGCTCGCTAGTGTACATTACATTTCTAATATTTCATGGTGCAGTGACTCGCTCACTATGATCCCTACCTGGCTTCATTTTTCGTCATATTTTCAGGTAGACTTAGTAATCGACTATCCATGCCTACCTCTTCAAAAACGACAGTGCCTTTGTGTCTCTTGAAGAACGCGTAACATTTTTATTCCTATCACCCATTGCTTGTAGCTTCAGTTTCTCAAGCATCTTTTTAATCCAGCATTTTTCCGCGCCACACACGTTAGCTCAGATAAAATCCAGTGATTCCATTCTATGCAAGGACGTCGGTGAATGTGGTCATCGCTTTCTTATACTTGACCTCTGTGTTCTGAACATGCATCAATTATGTGTATATGTTCTTTGATCTCTTAATCACTGACAATCCGAACGATTGATATAGGTGTTAGTAGATTTGTGCATATGCTATACAAGATCATAGCCATTAATAGATCCTATACGTACATTATCACTATTGTATCTCAATAGTAGGAAACTTTTGTCACACGAGTCGTTGTCTGTTTGTCTAAATATATCAACTAGTTGGCTTAATCCAGCTGTGTCTTTCACAAATGGAGAGAAATGTGTAAAGATAACGGAGGAAACTTTACGGAGTGCATTTTACGCAGTGTAAAGGTATAATAAAGAGTTCAAGTTGGGAAGCTACCGTTCCCAGAATACATGGTTTCTAGGGGAGTAAGTGTTGGTGACTCTGATGATCACAGCATGTTGTGATCCTCAATATCTCCACACAGCACACATAGTTGTTTCTGCAATAAGCAACTGCAAATTACTTAGCCCCTGATATGTTCCCTTTGTCGTGCGGTAATGGTTAACAGGGGGCCGCTTTGACGAAGCCCATGAATGAATACTCTTGGATAACAGAGCACACTCTACGTGACTCGGGACATAAAGCGGTGACTCTCGACTGGCTCCTTTATCGGAAAGACGCATATATGCAGGCAGGCAAACAACAGGAAACGAAAAGCACGGTGTCTTGTAAGGTGGTAGTGTTCTTTTCTGCATCATTATACCGCAATTTTTACGATCCCACTGCCCCTTTTAGGATTCCTAAATGGAGTTTGCCATTTTTTATACAAAATTATCGGGCCAGTAGGGTAAGTCTTGGTTTAATAAACAGAAGTAAATGTTCCTAACACCAACTTGATATGATTGAGCTTGACTACTAGTGCAGTGCACCCATACCGAGAGCTTACATTCTCCCCCCCCCCCCTTTTTTTTCGACTGATTTGTGAGCAAATATTGCTCGAATAGATGAGGCGTATTGAAACTGTACGTGCTTAAAATGTTAAACTTTGACCGGCAATCATAGTTTAACTCTTCATTCAGCAACTTTCAAGAAAAGTGATTGTAATTAGCTTTTCTTACAATGCGCCTAATTCTGACATTATCTCAACCCCAGTGTTAATTAATAGGTTTTGACTTCTCTTACTTCACGTATTGAAACTGCGTACAACTGCGATGGTATGATTTTCCTCAGGTGCAAAAAGTAATAAAATAAAGCTCCACCACCAGAGCCATATTGCAAGATATTTATTGCAAAAGTGCCGCACACAGAAGAAACACACGTTTGCAATTTGGATATATTTGCTTTCCAGGACGTGGGATACAAGCGGACCATATTTCACTTTGTACAAATTCGACAGAGAAAGCCAATGTCGCCCCCGCCACTGTCCATCAAGCGTGGGAATGGAACTTGCCGGGACAGCCTCCCGATGGACACGTGCTGGGGCATTCCCGTCTTGGCTGCGCTGTCCACGCTGCTCATCACACTGCCAGCTTCATACATGGCCGTTCTTTTCGTTTTCTTCGTTGATGACTACGACGTGAGCCGAGAGCGAGCATCCTGGCCCCAAAACTCCTTAACCATGGCAATGCATGTTTCGGGTATGTCTTGCAATTTTATCAAGCAGTTCTTACCTCAAATTTTTTTTTACTTTAATACGATATGCTTGGACACAGAAAATATGTAAAACAAGATGTTAGGGCTGGATTCTCCTGTTTCAAGTTATATTCGCTACGCTAACATGTTAAGTGTGCAGCATACGTTGTTGTTGGGGTACTGTAGGAATGACCGACAATCGTGTGGCGTACGCTTTATAGGTGAATGTAAACTATTTCAGCATTAGCATAGTGTATCTGAGCATAGTTTCAGTGCTGACAAAACGGAAACCGGGTGTTGCGCAGCCAAATTCATGTACTGCTAAAACTGCTATAGAAGGGATATCAAGCGCACTACAGCCAGCGAGTCGCACTGACCACTGACACAAGTTAGATTCGCAAGGGCGTGGACAAGGAAGCAGTAACGGGGGAGAGGGTGAGGGGATAGAGATTTAAGCTAACGCCACCATTTGAAAAAACAAAAGTTTGGCATATCTCACATACAGGTCATTTGCGAAGGAGCTCTGGCGCTAGAATTCCAACATGTCGGAAGTGGTTGCCTAAATCTAAATGACTAAAATCGGGACGCCGGTTCCTAAACATACTTTTAGTTTCATGGTTGAGTTAGAACACATGGCGATTCCATGACGTGCTTCCTAAAAACAATTAATCAGACCCGTATAGCCTATGTAGAACACGTACAGTGGGGCTCAATATGAGATGTAACACACTGGCTGTGGTTAGTGCGACCTCACGTCTGAAAAATAACGCCGACAAGTGTCAAATTGGTTCACGAAGTACCACTAGTGAGCTACTTTAATTCATAAATGTTTTTCTCTGGGTAGGTGCACTTCGCAATTGTCATTTTAAGCGCAGATAGCATGTTGCGACTAATACTGAGCGCGGCTGTACATAATTACAAGGACAGTGGGACGAAGACAGTCATGCACGGGCGGCGTGAGTTGTTGGAGACACCTGATTTATAAAAAAGCCATATATATCAAGGGGGTGGAAAAGGGCAGTAAGTTTTAAGGGCACCGATCTGAGGATGAAGAGAATATGAAGATTGAACGAAGTAGGACAGGGTATATTGGCATCGTATGCCACTGTTATGCGTCACCATCCGGCATCACATAGGTCAAACCGTCTATCGAAAAGTTGTGTATACCAAGGGGGCGGCGAAGGGATGTTTGCATCACCTTAACTACATACACGATGCACTGACGGTTGGTTCGAGTGATACGAGCCAACAGAGCCCCGCAAAGATAGATACAGGCGACATATTTCACAGCATATTATGCATTACGCAGGTGGAATGCAAATGAAATTACGAGGTGCGGAACTTCAGTGTTCTTTGGGTCTATAGTTTACTGTATTACCAAGGGCCACAAACAACTCATACGTAGGTGGTCAGCCAAGAACAACAGTGATTAACAGAATTCCCACGATTACTTGAGAAGTCTGTGAGTCCAAAATTGTTGAGAAGGAATGACTGAAGCATATCTGCCAGTATTATCATGAGAATTGGAAGCGGATAATGAAATAATATTTGAAAAGGTTGAAATTAAGTGTAGCGAGACAATACGAGGCGTGAGACGACGTGAAGGTGGCCGTAGGGTCTCTGCCAATCTCAGCCACTTCATTTGTAGCGCCGAAGAAGAGTGGTGGCAGCTGCAGTGCCCAGTTCCACCAAAAACGGGAGCTTGTAGTCCGACTGACTCACGTCCTTGAGCTACTAGCACCGCAAAATGATGATGGCATATAAATAGGTGATCATGACTGTGTTTCTACAAATGCTTCGAAGGACATATCTGAAATATTGTGGCGCAAACTTTCTTAAGTGGCGCTTTGGGAATGTGTAGGAATAGTGGCAGACGGCATAGGCGGAGAATGTGCAGCTCAATTTGTCAATGAACTAGTTTGGTGGGTGATAGAACTTTAGGACAAAAAAAAATTTAGGGACTTAATATCACACCACCTTAATGTAAACCAGAAGTTAACGAAGCAACAAAAAATATATGAGACAACTCTTTAAAAATCAACTGTGCCAAATGCATTGTAATAAATGTGATACGAATGTAAATGGCCTTTCGCAATACCATGCAGCATGCATTATGCGGCTCCACACCGATGTGTACCACGGGGACCCCTCCCTAGACACCTCTGAGTAGGTGCCTGATGGAACTGACACAGAACGCCAACGCCCCTGTATTAACAAAACGTTCTTAGAGTGAATCGCCCAATTAATCGCAGACAATGTAAACTGCTCCCTAAAGAGAAGGCGAACACCCATCCGCACTGGTGTAGCTGTTATGGCACTCGACTGCTAACCGGGAGGTGGCGAGATCAGATCGCAGCTGTGGCGGCTGCATCTTCGATTGAGGCAAAAATATTTGAGGCCCATGTACTTAGATTTAGGTGCCCGTTACACAAACCCAGGGGGTTGAAATTTCCGGAGACCTTTATCATGACATATATCATAATCATATCATGTTTTTTTTTGCGCTGAACCACCGAAAGGAGAATAAAGAGGCGAACAAAGCTTTACATACCAACGCTTTCTGTTGAACAACTGAGTAGTCTGTTTTTGGTGCGACTAGCAAGGCTCATCGACTTGCGAGATTGATTGTTCATTTGATTTCACAGTGATCTCACATAACTTCAAGATTCAATCGTTCAGTCTGCAATACGAAAACGCACGTCACGTAAACTGCCTTTCTTTTTTTTTTCAGGTTTAATTGTGGGTGCGCTTCAACGACGCGCCCCCGTCGCTAACATCGCCGTTCTGGGAGCACTCCTAGCATCGCTAGGGGTTATCACGTCAGCCTTTGCCCGCGAGATCATCTGGCTGTCCATCAGTCTTGGCGTCATGTATGGTGAGGAGTGTGGGTTATATTCAAAGACATATCACAGCATACCGCGCACACTCCCCCCCCCCTACTTTATACCCTGTGAATTTCTAAGGCGGGGGACGCCAACTGCTGTTTCTTCTATGGCCTATAGTACCTGAACGCATGCTGCCACCATTGTCTCTTCATCATGTGGCTTCCAACTCAGTTAAGGCCTCTGTCAGGGGAAGAACATTCCCAATGACGTCCAATTTACCCTACGCTGTGCAACAAGGTTCACTTTATTTTATGCCTGCGAAATTCCTCATCTCGTCATAACACCTAACACTCCGTTGTCCGCGGCTGTGTCTCCCATTGCTTTTTGTCCACCCCGTAGTTCAATTGACTAATAGGTAAAGTGAGTAACGCCAGCGAGGGTTCGTTATATAACGGCCTGTTTTCACTCACTAATAGCCAATAGAGCCTCACAATGAACTATGCTGACTATACGGTGTTAATTAATGCATACTTGTAGGCATCTGCCTTTCAGAAGGACACTCCGCGAGCTTCTGAAGTGGTACTAGTATTGAACGACAGAACTTAACACATTTCTTGTATAAAAAGTTCTTTGAAAGAGTCAGCCTAATAATGCATAATGTCTCAAAGAACTATTGACTTGATGCCGCTATAACTACAATGGCAGGGGCTCAAATATATAATTATGGCACTTTCCTTCTAAATTATATGATGAAACAGAATTTTCACTCAGGGCTATTGACTATATTTTACTCGGGCACGTGTCAACAGCATATAATGTTTACATGTGCATAACTTACAGTTGCGTAGTATATACGAATTCAGATGTCTGACGCAGCCACCAGCAGTAAGGACCACCACCCACATGAGCCACGTTGTGCTTTATTGCTTACACAAAAAGTTTACCTGGACAACATCACTGGGGAAATCTGTATTGTCTTCTTACACAGGCAAAGTAGGCCTGAAAGGCAGGGCATATTTTGCTTTATCCCTAGATAACGTACTCCCTTTCTTTTTACGCAGGACTCGGCGTCGGAATCTTTGTGTCATCAGTCGCTATCTACATCCTGATGTACTTTGACAGGTACAAGGGAACCGCCTTCACGTTGACATTCACTGCGTGGGGCATATCTGGTTTACTGGGCCCAGCATTCCTCACACATCTCCGCGCAAAGTATGCTCTCGACGGTACCCTTCTGATGACCGGGGCTCTTCTCTTGCACTCCATACCACTGAGCATGCTGCTCAAGAACCCTAGCCCAGTGAATACGGAAGTGTTGAGAAAACTCCTCTCAAGACTATCACGGCACTCTCGTCAGCGGAAGACCATCTCGTCTCACAGACTGCAGGTGCCTCAACAAAGACCACCAGCAACGATCAGTCTGAGCCACGTAAACGATCCCGTCGATTGGAGAGCGGGGAAGAAATCCGCAGAGTCAAACGTTACGGTTTGCGTAGAACCAGTGATCACAGAAGACACTCCCCCATCCAGCAAACGTCAAGACCAACAACAAGGGTCACAAAGTCTTTCCATGAGCTCTATTTCCGAGGCTTTTCGAGGCCTCCGTCGATTTGCCGCCGCAGTGTTTCGAACACCCGCCTTCTACGTGTTCCTTTTTGCGACAGTCGTGGGTGACTATTCGGGAGTGTCGTTCGGTACCACAGCTGTGGACTACGCTGTCGACAAAGGAATCAAAGTGGAATTGGCAACGCACCTCGTCGAGTTTGGTGCCGCGGGCCATCTAGTGGGCCGCATCTTCATAATGCCCCTGTCAGACTGGGCTCCGATTAGCCGATTTCCGCTCTTCGCCAGCTCCTACGCCCTCGAGGCCATCTGCGCCGTGATTCTGCCCCACATTGGCCCTTCGTTCAGCGAGATCGTGGCATTGCGAGTCACAGAGACCACAGTGGCCGGTTTTTCAACAGCCATACGAGGTATCCTCTTGGCTCAGTATATGGGCATCGAAAGGCTGGCTACATGCACGGGCCTTTACGGACTCGTCATGGTACCAGTCTCACTCAGCAGTGCTTCAATCATTGGTGAGTACAGTCACTCCGAACTGCAGCTTTAACGCCAGCTTGGAAGCCATCCCACGTACGCCTATGTACAATGTGGCATCTCGGGTTCATAGTATGATCATTGTCTTCGCCGGCACCAATGTAAAATTCAATGCAGCCATTGACATACTTGCCCGTCTATGAATGTGGTAAGGTCTAAATATTTTCGGAGAATCGCATCTGCACTGCAGGACAAATGAAAACGCTTCAATGACGTACTGGACAATAAACTTCGTTTAGTATGGTATCAACAACGAAAAAAATTTGATGAACACTACGACAGACCAATGTTAAAAACAGGACACACAACACAAGAATATGTATACCAACCTCTTAATCTTTTTCTTTGTAGTTTTACAGTTGGTCTATATTCTGCCTTGTACGTTCTAATATTCTTACATTTTGGGAGGAAAATTCTGTATTGTAAACTCCATGTAGTGAACACTCTGCGAGACGACGACGATGAGGCAACGAAGAAAGAAAGCCACAGCGTTAGTGATAGACATGCGACCCCAACTTGGGCTTACTTTAATTTCGCTGCCTTAACGTTCATCATTGTCTTTGTACGTTTCACGTGACTTACTATAGATCACTGCATAACGAAAAACGCAGTAGGTATGGATTGTTTTTGTTTCTTTTTCTTGTGGCCTAGGTGCTCTATGAAAAGATAAAATTTCGACAAACACAAGCTTTATGACCAGCAGGAATCAAGAGCGATTTGTCTTGACATAATATTTACAACCGCTGAGAAACAGAAGTAAAAATAATCAGGAGCTATATTGAGCCAACAATTCCTCGTTATTCTTAGAATAAAACTGCGGAGATAAGTAAACAATTTAGAATAACTAAAGTTCCGGCGGCGTTTTGGACGCCTGGCAACAGCTTTAGCTAAAATGTGACGTTGAAGCCGCCAATCTTCTTTCACTCTCCCACAGCTCGCTGCATGCGGTTAAGTTGTTCGAATTTGGGTGCCGCGGCTTCCTTGGCAAATACGTCGCTGACGGATCATTTACTAGGGAAGTGATCGGTCACGGATCGCAGTCAGCTGGAAGAGGTGGAGAGAGGGAGGGGCCGCGATGGTGGAGATACGCGCTGAGAGGGAGAAGGTGAAGATATGAAGTGGCCTTCCGTGCCGATCGCGTTTGGAAGGCTTTGATGACACTGCACAGGTGGTCATTTGCACTTCCAAAAGGTAGTCTTATAGCACGCACAAAAAGAGCAGCACACCACAGGATCTTGCTGAACCCCTGTACGGCAAGCTGCGTTTGAACGTTCAGTGTTTTCGCATCATGGCTCCCCAGCGAAAGAAACATGACTGCGCAAAAGAAATTTTAACGTAACAAGCATAGAGCTGATTCAGAACGACTTGGATATGCTGTTAAGTGAGGATTCGTTCTATTCCGTCACGAAAAGCTAACTCTGCTGCCGTTTTTCTTCTTTCCGTAGATATCTTCTACGGCCAATTGTGACGTTAACACAGGTGGCCAAAACAGGTTGTGGAACCAATGCACGTGTAGTTACTTTCCTGCTACGCTCCTGTTCTGAAAATCTTTCTTTTTTATGCCAGATATAGAAATATGGGTCCCTCTAATAGCAGTTGCTAAGTTTTTATCAGCATGAACTTGGTATCTGTACTGACGTACATGCGTCAACGGCGTTCGCTACAAAGTGAGTGTGCTTGGGAGACCATTAGGCATACTCTCTCGCTAATAGGCAGAGCGCAGCGTTAGTATGCTGGCACACTAATGTTTCGAATAAAATAAACAGTAGTTACGTTTTCATGTTGAAATTTGTGCCTCAGTAAGCACAACACTTCACCTGTTACTCTGAGCTCTCAGCGTGTCTTATGATTTTGTCACCGCCTTAGTTTCACTAGCGCACGCATAGTCCTACATTTGATGTCTATTTCAGTGTAAGCCCCTGTTGTACAGCTCTTCTGTATACCACAATACAGGGACAGTTGCAGGCTGTCCAAGCAGCCCGCCAAGTGGCCGAAAGCCCAGGTCTCTCGCTCTTAACGTGCAAGCAGCGCTCCGCCTCGGGCTCGATCGACCTATTCGACCTGTATAGTTTTTTTCATCCATCATCCATTCATCGTAAATAAGGAAATGCTACTTCTGTGTGGGAAACCCGCCGGTATATACCTGGAACTCGGCCAACATAGTCCGTTTCTTATATTTTGCAGGTCTGATAGCATCAAAAACACAATATTTACCTCTTTCCGTTTACCCTCTCTGCGCAGTTGAGCGTCTGGAAGTCTTTTCTAAATTGTTGCCCATCCTGCATGCACAATTGATCCCATGGCGCAACGTCTAGCAACCTACGTTTGCGCTGTGAGCGAGTTCGTGACCCGTTTTTGTGAGAAATAAATTTCACGTGCTTTATATTTTCTGCACTTCAAGAGTGCGACCAAGTTGCCACTAATGTTGTGAACAATAATTCTAAAAGCTTTTTTTCGCATAACTTTACATGGTGCTGGCCACGTTACCTGGAGAGAGAGAGAGAGAGAGAGGAGACTTCATTTTCAAATCAATAAATTCGAGTCTGGCATCTTTCAGTGTTTTGCTTAGGGGAGAGCAGATTTGGTAAAGAAAATAACACGGGACAGAAAGGACGCTTAGTGGATATGGCACTCTTTCGCTTCACTTATTTTATCTTACATTTCGTTTTGCCTACACTGTTGACTGTGTCTTATTTATTGAAAATGTACTGAATTTTTAACACTACGTGTCATAATTTATTCGGCATTGTGAATATGACTAGCGAATAAAAAAGACCACATAACTTCTCCATAGAGCTATATCTACTAATATATCTTACCAGGGACCATCAAATATTGCTTCACCCTGAAAAAAAAGGTACCACAACTTTTTCTTTCATTTACGTTAGAGCAGCGTGTAATCGCGAAGATATACACTAACCAAGAAAGAACATAGTTTACATGAAGTTTTGGGCCTCGATAGGGGAGCCTCGTTCGAAATTATAGTTATAAGAATAAAAGAACGCAATACATTATAAAAAAGTGTTTAATAAATGAAATGACACAAGTCACTCCTGTTTAAGCTAATTTGTATTGTCACGGGGTCGTGACGTGGCCGAAGACAGGAGACTTCGTGTTGGAATTTAACTGTCTATTTGGCCGAACCTGTGCCCGGTAAAGAGGAAGTCTAATTACAGCAGCAGTCTTGCACAGATAGCAGTCTCGGACTGATAGCGGCGAACGCAGCGTCAGCCTTCGATCAAACACTGACAAGCGGCGAAGCGCGTCGGCATTTATACTCTTGCCGTCGAACGTTCTAGCGTTATCACTGGTGGTGGCGTAGGTTCCAGAACAATCTGTACCGTTCGCACAGTGGGCGTGATCTTATCGAAATGATCTACTACAGTCCGGAACCTTCTCGAAACCTGCAGGCGCGGTTTGCGCCGAGAATCGTGTGGTGTTTCGGAACGATAACAAAAACTTGTGAAATGGAACGTGGCATTGCCCCCTCTGAAAAAGGCATCGTCCCAATGCTTTAACTAAAGATGAAGGTACAATAATAATGCAAGAAAGTACAATGAATAAATTACAATACAACAATAATACAAAAAACACTGTTTCAGTTTAACGTGCATGAAACGGCTTGAGGCGCGCGACATGGACGACTTCAGGTCGCGATCGGCGTCGTTGAGAGTTCGTGATGCCGTCGGGGACAACCTCGTAATCAAGTGGGCCGAGACGTCGAACCACCTTGTACGGTCCGAAGTACCGTCGCAGAAGCTTTTCACTTAGTCCACGCCGGCGTATCGGCGTCCACACCCAAACACGTTCACCGGACTGGTATTCCACGAAGCGTCGTCGAAGGTTGTAACGGTGGCTGTCGGTCGTCTGTTGATTCTTGATACGGAGACGCGCAAGTTGTCGGGCTTCTTCGGCGTGTTGAAGATACTCGCTCACATCGAGGTTTTCTTCGTCGGTGACGTTGGGTAACATGGCATCGAGCGTCGTTGCCGGGCTCCTTCCGTAGACCAATTTGTATGGAGATATCTGCGTCGTCTCCTGCACCGCCGTGTTGTAGCGAAGGTCACATACGGAAGAATGGCGTCCCACGTCTTGTGTTCGACATCGATGTACATTGACAGCATGTCGGCGATCGTCTTGTTAAGCCACTCGGTGAGGCCGTTGGTCTGTGGGTGGTACGCTGTCGTCCAGCGGTGGTTTGTTTGGCTGTATGCCAAGATCGCTTGAGTTAAGTCCGCAGTGAATGCCGTTCCTCTGTCGGTGATAAGGACATCCGGGGCGCCGTGACGTAGGACGATATTTTCGACGAAGAACTTAGCTACCTCGGATGCACTGCCTTTTGGCAGGGCTTTTGTCTCGGCGTAGCGGGTGAGGTAGTCGGTAGCTACCACGATCCACTTGTTTCCGAAAGCCGACGTCGGGAACGGCCCCAGTAGGTCCATGCCAATCTGCTGGAAAGGTCGGCAAGGTGGATCAATTGGCTGCAGAAGTCCTGCTGGCCTTGTCGGCGGTGTCTTGCGTCGCTGACAGTCCCGGCATGTCCTCACATAACGAGTGACGTCGGCGGTAAGACGTGGCCAGTAGTACCTTTCTTGTATCCTCGCGAGCGTGCGGGAAACACCGATGTGCCCTGCCGTCGGATCGTCGTGCAGGGACTGCAGGAGTTCTGGTCGCAGAGCTGAAGGCACCACAAGGAGGTACTTAGCTCGAAGCGGTGAAAATTTTTTCTTTTGTAGAAGACCGTTTCGTAGAAAGAACGACGCAAGTGCGCGCTTGAATACCTTCGGGACTTCGGCGGTCCTGCCTTCGAGGTATTCTATTAGGGCTTTAAGTTCCGGGTCGGCCCGCTGTCGTTCAGCGAAGTCGTCGGTAGTTATCGTTCCCAAGAAGTAGTCGTCATCCGAGTCGTCGGGTAGCGGTTGGTCGACAGGCGCACGAGAGAGACAGTCAGCGTCGGAGTGTTTTTTGCCGGACTTGTAAATGACAGTAATGTCATATTCTTGAAGTCTCAGTCTCCATCGTGCGAGGCGACCTGAAGGGTCCTTCAGGGTGGCTAGCCAACACAAGGCGTGGTGGTCGCTCACAACTTTGAAGGGCCTGCCGTAGAGGTAGGGGCGAAATTTCGACGTAGCCCAGATGATGGCGAGGCACTCCTTTTCTGTTGTGGAATAATTTGCTTCTGCTTTGAATAGCGATCGGCTGGCGTAACTAATAACCCTTTCAAGTGCGTCAGCCCTCTGCACAAGAACGCCGCCAAGACCTACGCTGCTTGCGTCAGTATGTATTTCTGTCTCGGCGAATTCGTCGAAATGGGCAAGTAACGGAGGCGTCTGGAGGCGATGTTTAAGCTCCTGGAAAGCGTGTTGCTGTGGCGTTTCCCATTTGAACTCCGAGTCGGCCTTGGTAAGGTTAGTGAGAGGATCGGCGATGCGGGCGAAGTTTTTCACGAACCGCCTATAATAGGCGCACAGGCCCAGAAATCGGCGCACGGCCTTCTTGTCAGTGGGCGGCGGGAAGTCGGCGATGGCGGCTGTTTTCCGTGGATCGGGACGAACTCCAGACTTGCTGATAACGTGCCCCAGAAACAAGAGCTCCTTATACGCAAATCTGCACTTTTCTGGCTTCAGTGCGAGTCCGGACGTCTTGATGGCTTGAAGTACAGCTTCAAGGCGCCGAAGATGCTCGTCGAAACTCGAGGAAAACACGACGACGTCGTCCAGGTACACAAGGCAAGTCTGCCACTTCAATCCTGCCTGTACTGTATCCATAACGCGTTGAAAAGTTGCAGGCGCTGAGCAAAGGCCGGAGGGCATCACCTTAAACTCGAAGAGGCCGTCCGGTGTTATAAACGCCGTCTTCTCTCGGTCTCTTTCGTCGACTTCGATTTGCCAATAGCCAGTCTTGAGGTCCATTGACGAGAAGTACTTGGCGTTATGGAGCCGATGAAGGGCGTCGTCTATTCGTGGGAGAGGATATACGTCCTTTCTTGTGATTTTGTTCAGGCGGCGATAATCGACGCAGAAACGTAGGGTCCTATCCTTTTTCTTCACTAACAACTCGGGGGATGCCCACGGACTCTTGGACGGCTGGATAATGTCATCTCGCAGCATTTCATCAACTTGTCTCTTCATTGCCTCACGTTCTCGCGTCGAAACCCTGTGCGGACTCTGACGGAGTGGTCTGGCATTTTCTTCGGTTATGATTCGATGTTTCGTGATTGGGGTCTGCCGAATTTTCGATGACGACGAAAAGCAATCTTCGTATTGCAGGAGCAGGGCCTTGAGCTGTTCTTGCTTATAGTTCGGAAGTCTGGGATTGACGTCGAAAGCTATCGGAGGGGCTTGGTTCCTCTGAGCAGGTTCCGCAGAATCGGCGAGGGGGAAAGCACTGGTGGCTTCGACAATTTCTTCGATGTATGCGACCGTTGTTCCTTTGTTCACATGTTTGTACTCATTGCTGAAATTCGTGAGCATAACCGTTGCTTTGCCTCCCCGCAGCTCTGCAATTCCTCTTGCGACGCAAATATTTCGGGTGACCAACAGATGCTGACTGCCTTCAACGACGCCTTCCAAGTCAGGTGATTTAGGAGCGCCGACTGAAATAATGACGCTTGAGCGAGACGGAATGGTGACTTGTTCTTCCAGCACATTCAAGGCATGGTGTCCTGACGGCGTGCGCGGCGGTAGTGCTTCTTCTGTGGATAACGTTATCGACCTTGTTTTTAGGTTGATGACAGCACCATGGAGGCATAAGAAGTCCATGCCAAGGATGACGTCTCTCGAGCAACGCTGTAGGACTACGAAGTCTGTAGGATAAATACGGCCGTTAATGGTGACTCTCACTGTGCATATTCCTGCAGGCGTTACGAGATGACCTCCGGCTGTGCGGATTTCAGGGCCTTTCCAAGCTGTCCTAACTTTCTTTAACTTCGCGGCGAACGACCCACTGATGACAGAATAGTCAGCTCCAGTATCGACGAGAGCAGTCACACTGTGGCCGTCGGTAAGAACGTCGAGGTCGCTAGTTCGCCGTCTCGCATTACAGTTAGGGCGTGGCGTCGGGTCACGGCTGCGTCGGCTTGTTCCGCTGCTTCCATGTTGCGTCGTCCGGCCACCTTCGGTAAGTGAGCTTTTGCCTTCAGGGCTTTGCCTGGTTGGTGTTGTGTTCAAAAAGCTCCGTCGCGTCGGCGTCGTCGTCGGAGGATCTTCGGTAGTTCGTCGCACAGCAACCGCACCTCCATCGGTTGCTGCCCTTAGTTTCCCGGATACGGGCTAGGAGACCGGCCCCGCGTTGGGCCAGAGTACTGCCGGGGGTGCGGTGACACGCGGCGGCTGGGCGACGGCGAACGGGAAGGACTTCGTGGTGTCCCTTGAGTTCCTGCCAGGTAGTCGGCGATGTCACGTGGCCGATCTCCTGGCTGCGGACGCGGTGCATTGACGGCGAAGCCACGCAGTCCCATCTGTCGGTACTGGCAACGGCGGTATGTGTGCCCGGCCTCGCCGCAGTGGTAGCAGAGCGGGCGGTTGTCAGGTGCACGCCAAACGTCCGTTTTTCTCGGTGCACTGCGCTGGCCCGCTGGGGAACGGTAGGACGTCGGTTGGGGTGGTGGCGGCGGTGGCGTCTGGCGACGGAAGTGTGACGGGGCGGCGTTTTGGACTGGACGGGGAGGAGCGTTGTGGCGCACTGCAGCGGCGTAGCTCATAGTTTTTGGCTCGGGCGGCGGTGTTTCGGGAATCCGAAGCGATTGCCGGACTTCTTCTCGCACAATGTCGGCGATCGAATCCACTTGAGGCTGCGCCGAAGGCAACAGTTTGCGCAGCTCTTCCCGCACGATCGCTCGGATCGTTTCACGCAGATCGTCGGAGTCACTGGCTTGAGCAGCAGCGCATTCTGGAGTCAGGCGACGATTATACTGTCTGGTGCGCATGTCCAGCGTTTTTTCGATGGTGGTCGCCTCGGATACAAATTCTTGAACGGTGTTCGGTGGATTCCTCATTAGTCCTGCCAAGAGCTCCTGTTTGACCCCTCGCATGAGGAAACGAACTTTGTTTTCCTCAGGCATGTCTGGGTCAGCGTGACGGAATAGGCGGGTCATCTCCTCTGTGAAAATTCCAACCTTTTCATTTGGTAGCTGAACCCGGGTCTCGAGTAGAGCAGCGGCCCTCTCTTTGCGAGCGACGCTTGCGAACGTTTGCAGAAATGCGCCGCAGAAGACATCCCACGTTCTGAGCGTGGACTCCCGATTCTCTTGCCAGGTCCTTGCGGTGTCTTCCAGGTAGAAGTACACACGACGGAGCTTTTCTTCGTCGTCCCAGTGGTTGAGGGCGGCCACACGGTCGTGTGTTTCTAGCCAGGTTTCCGGGTCTTCAAACGATGAGCCATGGAACGTTGGTGGTTCCCTGGGTTGATGAAATACGATCGCGGGCTGGGACGCTCCGGTTGTCATTGTCGCTGCAGTCGAGGTCATGGTCTTGGTCTTCCGCGCCCTGTCTTGTAGAAGGCCGTACTCCGGTGGGAGACCTTGCTGTCGGCGGCTCGTTCGCTCTTCTTGGTTGGCGTCAGTGTCTTCTCCGCGACGGGGGCTGGGTTCACGGCTTGACGGGGGCGTCCGGTACATGAACGAAGCAGCACCTCCACCAGATGTCACGGGGTCGTGACGTGGCCGAAGACAGGAAACTTCGTGTTGGAATTTAACTGTTTATTTGGGCGAACCTGTGCCCGGTAAAGGGAAGTCTAATTACAGCAGCAGTTTTGCACAGATAGCAGTCTCGGACTGATAGCGGCGAACGCAGCGTCGGCCTTCGATCAACAACTGACAAGCGGCGAAGCGCGTCGGCATTTATACCCTTGCCGTCGAATGTTCTAACGTTATCGCTGGTGGTGGCGCAGGTTCCAGAACAATCTGTACCGTTCGCACAGTGGGCGTGATCTTATCGAAATGATCTACTACAGTCCGGAACCTTCTCGAAACCTGCAGGCGCGGTTTGCGCCGAGAATCGTGTGGTGTTTCGGAACGATAACAAAAACTTGTGAAATAGAACGTGGCAGTATTATCAAAAGCGTACGAGTGCATCGTTTTTCATTTAATGTGATTTTGTTTTATTTTTTGTTTTGTTTTTCGCAGGGTTCTTCCGAGACACAATGGGGTCCTACGATGGCTTCTACAGGATGCTCGCTGCTCTAAACACAGTCGTTTTCGTTTTGCTGGGCATTTTTCTGGTGTATGACTGGACGTGCCCCAAGAGAAGAGGATCAAATTGGTCACAAAAGTCTCTCGCCCATATTACAGTGGACCAAAGGGATCAATTAGAACAGAGGTGCTGAATGCGGTACACAAATGCCATTGGATTGGCGGAACATGCGTGCTGATGAGCGTTAATATACTTTAGCCTGCTAACTTGAGATGGTACATGCGACAGCTTCAACACTGCCATGGAGAGAGGGCGAGCTGAAAGTGTGAGATCTTGTACTTATCAAGATACAGCAGAGTTCGCTTTTTTTTCTCCAGCTTCTGAAGAGCTACGAAGAAAATAAACGTCGATCACAATAAGAACACTTTAAAATGAAATGAAATATTCCAGCTCCAATACGAGGGCCTCATTCACAATGAAGTACGAATTTCATTTGTGGACAGTTTACTACATTGTGAGTCAAAACGTCTCGTTTTGTTTCGAAGTGTTTTTGTTTGTTGTGGTGAGCTTTCCTTCTTTTCTTTGAATGCCTTCTTTCAACCAAGCTTGATGGCATCGAATTCTGGATTACTTCAGAAGAACTCTTCAAAGAGAAACCGAAATCAGCTGTGCAGTTTCTCTACTGGCACAAAGTATTTTATTATCTGGAACATTGTGGCGTTCCCCTGAACCGACGCTTTTAAAACCTTCGTGTTTTGTGCGTACAAGTGGTCGTTACATCGTCAGGTGTTTGTGTTTTTACAATAAAACTACGTGTTACACAAAATAAATAAATGTTTTGCATAAACACGTGCCTGATATCAAAGACCGTATTCATAAACGAACCTTATTGAAATGACGATAACTGTAGTGCGAGAACAGAACGACGACAATGAGACAAGAAGGACACTTTGTCCTCGTTTCTTGCGCTATAACTATCGTCATGTCATATCAACTAGCCGAAACTGCCACACTTATCCTGCTCTCACGATCTTCTTATCAGTGTTGTGCTGCGAGTGCGCTTTGTAAGCAAAGTACGTAAGCATTTATCAGCGAATATTGGGTTATTTATTACGCTGCTACAATTTATGTGCCCTAATAACGCACGTACATTGTACAGAAAATTAGGAACGACATCGAAATAAGCTTCGTTTGCGAATACGGGTCTGACTCTGGCCAAGGTGCTTGTCTGTGGTCGATTGGGATTGCAGTGTTGGCTGTTCGTTATAAAACAATGTAACAAAGATTACGTATACAGTCTGATAACTGAGCTAGCTATTACTTAAACTTCCTCGTTTCACAGGAATATGCCCAAGAAGGACGCTTCGCTCACGTAAGTACTGCCTCGGCAGTGATGTTATGCCAGCGTTTCATTCGACCATAAGGTACCTTTTACACAACAGTGCTAGGTAAACTGACGATATGACCATAACTACTGAATTTGCACAATGTCGACGTACCCCGCAAAACTTTGAAAGGGAAAAAATGCGATACGCGTATCAAACCGATGGCTGGAACACATGCATTCAATTCACACTATGCGTATAGGACCGGCCAGAGTGTTTTCTGAAAACGAAGAAACCGTTTTGCTGATAAACACCTTCAGGACTTCTCAAATTACGTGCAGTGCTAACGACAGGTAATAGTTTGTTACCACGTTTCCATGACTTGATAAAAAAAGCATTTTTTAGACACATTTTAATCTGAATTCACCAGTAGCCAAGGAAATATGAAATGCGTGGGTAGATGCGTGTAGGCTGTGACACGTACTGAAGAAGGACTGTTACGTGGGCTAAGCGCAGGACGCAACCGTGCACTGTTTTCCCGAAGCCATCGAGTACCTTATCAATCTGCAGAACATACAAAAAAGGAAAACCATTCGCTTGCTGCTGCCTCAAAATGGCAACCAAGGGCCCGCAGTGTGCGTTAGTACACCTTGCTGACAGAGACGAGTCATTGCCTGAAAGTTATAGGTATACGTAAAGCACACTTTACGCGAGCAGAGCGGCCGGCCAGGTTCTTCACCTTGCCACCTTCACTTATGCATTTTTAATGTATGCGCATCAACAAAAAACAGTGTTAGGGGCCTGATTCGTGTTTTGTCAACTACGCCCACACCTATGTAACGTGAACTACTGCTGAATTCTTTCTTATATTCCTTGCTATAGGGTCCAAAGACTCCTGGCTGCCATCTAAGGGAGAGGATGTAACTCTTTTTACGCTTGTCGCTTTGACTAAAGTTGTTTCTCTCTCTCTCTTTACGCATTGATACATTATCCCGGTGGCAGAGAGGTGATGCTGAAGGAACTCTTTCTTTATCGGCATTTTACGGCGAATAGTTTCAACTGCTGCCTCCACCTTCCGCGCCTACACTGAAAGGAAAATTGCCGGCCCAGTACTAAATTTATTACTTCATTCGGACGCCCCAAGCAACCGGCTTTGTTCATGCCAGTCCATAAAAACAATAATTGAAGATAATTGAAGCCCATAATAGCAACGGTCTTCGCAGCTCTAATTTAAACTTACAGATGATCGTCTCAAGGGCAACACAAAACAATTGAAAAGGGTCCTGCTGTCAGAGCATCGGGAGACCAAAATATTGGTATTTAGTGGGTGTGCTATAAGTGAGAGCAAGACGAGAGCTGCGAACCAATGTGGGACACCGTATTGCAAAAGTTAGCTGGTGTTCCTGTCCACTGCAATATTGGTGGTGTGCTGTGCGGCAAAAAGGGCACTAAATGAAATGCCCTATGCGTTCTGAGGGCCAACTACAGAAACTTGCTTCTTTAAGTGAAATGTTGAGTTCCCGATGACTCACTTTGTTCCGTATAGGAATCATGAAGCCTTTTATCAAACGCTTCGGAGAATACAGTTTCGCTTGGATCTTATAATTGTTTTTCAGTTCTTTTCTTCGCAAATACATGAAGCCCTAGCTCTCTCTTGAATATTTCTGCACAAGAGTACACTGTTGTGTAAATCATTCGACCAAAACAAATCGATCAGGAAGATTGCAAGGTCGATAATTTAAAAAGAAAGGCAAACTGAACCATTGCCATGAAACTTTGTAGCTAGCTGCGCAGGTCGACGAACCTATATGCTAGGACGTATAAACACAACCGGTGCAACGGCTTAAGCACACTAGCACAGATTCAAATATTACTATACAAATATCAATAATGTTTTTTTTTCTGTACCACATGGTCTGATAACAGAGATTTAAATTTTAGCTCGTGTCTGTGAAGGGTAAAGCGTTTTCGTGCAGAAACTTGTCACCACAATGACCTGTGTGGTGCAAGAACCATGTCCGCACTTTAGCAGCAACATTACGAAAATTTTCTGTTTTTTGGTGTAGTGCATGGTGAACTCAGTTGATAACATTGGTGCGTGTGCACCTATCCCCTCAAATCTTGTTAAAAAGTACATTTTCATTCCCGTGTACTTAGACAAACAATAGTATAGTCGCAAAAAAATTGCCATTTGCGGCCGCTATTCACTTGGGGTGCGAATAAGGCTGATGAAGCAGTGTAGCTGGCCTCGTTGCCCTGCTCTTTTTGCTCGTCCTAATTCTCGCTTCCTCACCCACACTCCAGCTACCCTGCACTCTACATCACCGTGATTGCAATCTCTTCTATCTCTTCTATGTGTCCGTCTCTCTCTCTCTCTCCTTCTCTCCCGGTCTTTGACATTGTTTTTGTATATTTTACTCAATTTTCACTTCCCCTTTTCTCTCTCTCCTCTCATTTTCTCACTCATCAGGACGATTGCGTCCCATGCTAGATAAATCGGTGCCAATGTCTTGGGAGTGAATTCGAAGACGAAGAGGAGGAAAAAGAGAGGGCATGTTGGTTCATGATGATAGTTTGCTAGAGTTGCCTCAGGGCTTAACGAAGGGCTTTACCATTCCACAATAAAAAAAATAAACAAGCCTCCGCTGAGCCAGAACAGCATTTTCCTTACTGCGCGAAATTGGCATATTGTCAAGATCGAACGAAGAAGCATTTTAGCTGCAGCTGTGAATAATTTTCTTGATGTAGTGTAAAAACCGAGCGTTTAAGAAATGTAGTTGTTAACAAAATGTAGTTGTAGTTTTAGTGATCCTAATATTAGAAAAAAATAGGGAACTTCGCACATTATTCAATAGTGCTTAAGTTTCAATTTTTTTTCCCTCCACTTTTGTACCAGTAAAAAATTTTGAAATTTTCCAGAGATTCGACAGTTCAGGCCAACGAATTTCTGATTGATTGATTGATTGATTGATTGATTGATTGATTGATTTGTGGCGTATAATGTCCCAAAACGACCATATGATTATGAGAGACGCCGTAGTGGAGGGCTCCGGAAATTTAGACCTGGGGTTCTTTAACGTGCACCCATATCTGAGTACACGGAGGCCAACGAATTTCACAAAACACAATTGCCGACAGTGGTTTAAACGCCGATGCAAAATGTTAAACTAAGGCCAGGTTCCTAATGATGTCCCATTTCGAAATAACTAAAATGAACTTCCATTTTCTTCTTTTTTAAATCTCCGGAATAATGTGCAAGCCAGCCTTCTAATTTATTCGCCCTTCCACGGTGGTCTGGTGGCCAAGGTACTCGGCTGCTGACCCGCTGGTCGCGGGGTTGAATCTCGGCTGCGGCGGCTGCATTTTCGATAAAGGCGAAAATGCTGTAGGTCCGTGTACTCACATTTGGGGGCACGTTAAAAAACCCCAGGATGGGGGGGGGGGGGGGGGTCAAATTTCTGGAGCCCTCTACCAAAGCGTCTCTCATAATCATAAGTGGTTTTGGGACGTTCAGCCCCACATATCTATATGTCTTCTATTTTGTTCTGTACAAGTGTGTTGCATTAATTTTGTAAGATCGGAATTGCAAGACCCTTAAAATGGTGAAAGGGCCGTGCACTCGCAACCGCTTAATTGAGCGAGCATGTGGCTATGTCAGAATTAGAGGGTTGTAAGTATAGTATCGGCTATTCAAGAAACATGGTCACAGGAAAAAAGAAAACAGTAGGTGTCCCTTTAAAGTACAAGTTTTTGCATATGCGTGCTTCTTGGCGTCGTAGTTGCGTTTTAGGCGAAATAAATAATAGGTGTGAATCCAAGTTCGATTTAGGTTTACTAGTGATCCACCCGTTCTTAACACTTTTGATAATATTATTTATATAATATCTGTTATTATCTAACGTGTTACTATCTAACGCTGCGCAAGGATTATACCGTTGCGCGTAACACTCACCGTTTTAAGCTATCCTAGAAGGTTTACTGCAATCACAGTCAGCGTGGTTTGAAGCTGGTCTTGTAAGCAGCCAAAGGGTTGATTGATTGATTGATATGTGGGGTTTAACGTC